AAGAAACTTACATATTTACTCCTTGCCAAGACAAGGACTGAAGCTCAAATCGCGCGACTTCCCAGCTGTATTTGCTTTATTACTTGACGTAACAGCATCAACGTAGCGGACGACAATGGCACCGTGTGCCCAGAGGCAGAAGCGGTGATTTTCACGCGGATTGACTTGTCAGGGTAGACAGACTGCGCAGCGTCTACCGCTCTCCCTCACTCACCGAGCCTGTTGTCTGACAGACCGCAGGTGCGCTCAGACACCCTGACTGACAGAGCTACACAGCTCATCCATGCGTGTCAATCAGACCTGGGTGGCTCGCCTCCCAAATGATTGGGGATGCAATAGAAGCCACATTGTGAAGGAGCCATTGCAGCCAGTGTTTCCGTCTTCAGAGCGGAGGACCGCCAGTTGGCAGCCTTGCCAGTCACGACTTTTGGCGTCTCGTGAGAGATTCAAGCGCGCGTCAGATTTGTTCTATTGAAGAACGTGGTGAAGTGCCGCAGAGATAGATCGCCCAGAATCGGCCTTTCTCTCTCTCCTCTCTCTCGCATGCACCAGTCGGTTGGCAGAGACCATCAGCCAACTGATGCTGTGTCTAGATGCAGTGACTGACAGAACTGAGGCAATTCGTCTAGGTCTGCCACACACGACCTTATCCCCCTCTCCCTCCGCAACTCACCATGTTCTCACAACAAGGATGGGGACTGCTCGAAATTTGCGTGCGTGATTGTGCCGCATTGAGGATTAACCGAGGAAGTCGCTTCCCACTTACGTGAAAGGTGCCTGTCCTGTGCCTTTGGTGGTTATCAACACGCAGAAGACGGTGGTGATGCATCAGCCGCCTCCCAACTCAGCCACAGCCCCCAACACGCCGCACATCAACGTGAATGGGACTCAACTGCAAGTGGTAAAGAACTTCCCGTACCTGGGCAGCACGCTCTCCCGCAACACCAAGATCGACGACGAAGTTGCCAACAGGATCTCGAAAGCCAGTCAAGCCTTCGGTCGCCTCCAAAGCACAGTTTGGAATCGTCATGGTCTCCAACTGAGCACAAAGCTGAAGATGTACAAGGCCGTCATCCTGCCGACGCTACTGTACGGAGCGGAGACCTGGACGGTGTACACGAGGCAGGCACGTCGACTAAACCACTTCCACCTCAGCTGTCTCCGCCGCATTCTGAGGCTGAACTGGCAGGACCGCATCCCCGACACCGAAGTGCTGGAACGGACGGGAATTCTGAGCATCTACTCCATGTTGAGACAAATGCAGCTGCGCTGGAGCGGCCATCTGGTGCGCATGGACGACGAGCGACTACCCAAACGACTCTTCTACGGAGACGTCGCGACGGGTTCTCGTCGTCAAGGAGGCCAAATTCGCAGTTACAAAGATACTCTGAAGTCCTCCCTGAAGCGCCTGCGAATCAACCCGACCAACTGGGAAGAGCTCGCCCGCGATCGTCCGACTTGGAGGAGAACAGTGAAGACGGACGCTGCTATCTACGAAGCCAACCGCATCGCCGCCGCCAAAGTGAAACGCAAAGCCCGCAAATCACAACTTTGCCCAATACGCAACGCCGCCGCACATCCTCTCCCTACGTGTCCTCGATGTCAACGGACATTCCGGGCACGAATCGGACTTGTTGGACATCTTCGAATCAACTTCACCTCTCGAACTGCTCCAGCCATCGTCCCCCAGCCCGCCTTTTCCTCGTCCTCTATACCGCCAACTAACTCTGACACTCCTTCAGCACCACCACTTCCATCCTCCTCCTTCTCCTCCACTGCCCCAGCGGCGGCCGTTCAGACTGCCGCCTCACACATCACCAACCTCGACACAATAACCGCCACCACCCCCACCTATCCCGATTCCAGTGATGAGGATCAGGACTGCACCTGCCCTCACTGCGACCGCACCTTCAACTCACGCATCGGCCTGGTCGGTCACTTGCGAATCCATCGCACAGAGACTGGTGAACCAGTGCCTGGAGCACCAACCTACACCCACTGCACTCGCCTCCACTGCCCACAATGCCCTCGCACCTTCCGGCATCGCATGGGTCTATTCGGCCACATGCGCATCCACGAGAGCGGAATTGACCGCAGCCTTGACACACCCACCCCACCGAGCCCCACTCCCAATCCATCACCTTGTGCACCCACTAACCACTCCCCAGCCGACATCGACGCCACCGACCTTACCACCCCTCACTCCTCCCCTTCCTCCTCCTCTTCCTCCTTCACTGCCACAACGACAGCCGCTTCGGCGTCTGTCGCCCACGACTTCCCCACAGCCGAACCTGACACAACAACAGGCACAACCCCTGCAACCTCCATCATCAGACGTGAGGGCCAGGACTACATCTGCCCTCACTGCGATCGCACCTTCACTTCACGCATCGGCCTGGTCGGTCACTTGCGAATCCATCGCACAGAGACCGGCGAACCAGTGCCTGGAGCACCAACCTACACTCACCGCACTCGCCTCCACTGCCCACACTGCCATCGCACCTTAACGCGTCGCATGGGTCTATTCGGCCACATGCGCATCCACGAGAGCGGAATTGACCACAATTCCGATACAGCCACGACATTCAAAACATCCACCACGCCCAGACCCATCCTCGCTCCACCGTCACACGCGCCGACCACCACCAACACCACTGCTTCCTCTACAGCTGACACCGACACCGCCGACCTCTCATGCCCACATTGTCCACGCACCTTCACGTCACGCATCGGCCTGGTCGGTCGGACGTGAACCTGTTTAGCGCACCATTCAGACTGCAGCATGCCTGGGAATGTGGAGTCGGATGGTGGGTTCTTTTGCAGTGAACGTCGGCGTGGGCCGTGTGAAAATGATTTGGCTTTTTATGCATTTACCCGTCTCATAGGATAACCTATTTCGGTGAATCGGGGAGGGGTAGGCCTCATGCACCTACCTTGTCGCAAATATCAGAGCACTTAAACTGATCCCTTGTTTAGACGGCATGTTGTTGAAGGCAGGGCTGATTTTGCAGACCCAAGTTTTAATGAGGCACGTGGAGTGGTAAAGTTTGATTTTAATGTCCATCGGAAATTCCTCAATGCATTATGGTTGCGACACTCCATCGCGGAAGTATTTGCCACGGATGAATTAGATTGGGGGAGAATGGAATGTGGATTTAAGTGTCATGGGATGGCTCGTTCCATTGCAGTACGTTTGTATGCCGCATACAGTCCTACTCGATATAGACTTCTTTAATCAATAGCTTTGGATTACCTGTTTCCCGCCCGCTGACACGTCCCCAATTCGCGTCTTTAGCATTGCGCCATTCGTCCCGTCACTCCGTCGGCGTAATATAACAAATGTATGCCAGAACTGCGAGTTTTCTCAACGCCTTCCGCAGATTCCGTTAAGCACCCCCTCCGTCTGCCAAAAGGATGCATATAATATCAACATCCCTCCTGTATGGCAGATATCCCTGCGCTCTTTTTTCTTAGGAAACTTACACATTTACTCCTTGCCAAGACAAGGACTGAGGCTCAAATTGGGCTACTTACCGGCTCTATTTCCCCTGGTACTTCACATGACAGCATCAGCGTCGCGGACGACAATGGCACCGTGTGCCCAGATGCAGAAGCGGTGATTTTCACGCCGATTGACTTCTCAGGGTAGGCGGACTGCGCAGCATCTACCGCGTTCCCTGCTCCCTCCCTCACTCACCGAGCCTGTTGTCTGACAGACCGCAGGTGGGCTCAGACACCCTGACTGACGGAGCTACACAGCTCATCCAAGTGTGTCAATCAGACCTTGGCGGCTCGCCTCCCAAATGATTGGGGATGCAATAGAAGCCACATTGTGAAGGAGCCATTGCAGCCAGTGTCTCCGTCTTCAGAGTAGAGGACCTCCAGTTGGCAGCCTCGCCAGTCACGACTTTTGGCGCCTCGTGAGAGATTCAAGGGCGCGTCAGATTTGTTCTAGTGAGGAAGGTGGTGAAGTGCCGCGGAGATAGATCGCCCAGAATCGGCCTTACTCTCTCTCGCATGCACCAGTCGGTTGGCAGAGACCATCAACCAACTGATGCTGAGTCTAGATGCAGTGATTGACAGAACTGACGCAACTCGTCTAGCTCTGCCACACACGACCTTATCCCCCTCTCCCTCCACAACTCACCAAGTTCTCACAATCGGGATGGAGACGGTTCGAATCTCGCGTGCGTGAGTATGCCGCATCTATAATTAGCCAAGGAAGTCGTTTCCCACTTACGAGAAAGGTGCCTGTCCTGTGCCTCTGGTGGACGATGTGAGACGGGTTTGTGAGTGTGATGTACTGACTGATGGGTAGATGTGTGGTGACGCGTTTTGGTCTGAGCTGTATAAGCGCGTGTCTTCATGGAGGCCCATGCGATGGCTGAATGTGCGTGGGTAGTGCGGGCAGTTGAGTGGAAGTGGGTGGTTTGTGGCGGTTAAACGTGTGGTTTCCAGTCACTGGTCACTCATCAGTCGATTACAATAACGACGAATTCAGAGGACCAACCAGAGCTCAAAGAGTGCTAACGGACACGCAGTTCCATCTTACCGCATGTCCTAAACTCCAATCGACTGATTTGACACACACACACTAATAGTGCTCCTTGAAAAGCAGCAGACAGGTCTTGGCACAAAATGCATATTTATTCCAACAATGGTAATGTAAACAGAAATGGCATGATTGTCAGACGGGTCAGCACAAAGAATCTGTTACACTTCCTCCTCCCAATTTGTTCGTCGGATGCGTCCAGACTTGGAGGCGGCTCTCTCCTTGGCCATGTACACTGCAAATGGAAAGAAAACATGCACAGGTAGTTTATTTTGTCAACACTAGCAAATTCATCTAAAGGCATAAATTGTCTATCCCCTACCACTGCTTCTAACAAACTCCGCTATGTCAAAGCAGAATAAAGTATGCAAAGTGTGGCGTAGACACACAAACGTACTCTCATATTTTGTCGGAAGACGTACGCAGCGGCTCCCATCGCAAACATACTTCTTTCCATTAAGAATGGGGAAGGTGAGACCCGGTGTCTGACGGAGACGAGGATCATCATATTGTGCTCTAGCCATGACTTGTCTGAGAGGTGCGGTTTCGGTGGATACCCTCCTTTTCAGAGGTATTCCAATTTATAGGGGGATTGTTGTTGTCGTCACCACCGTCACCGCCGCCGCCGTCGCCGCCACCACCACACTGAGGAGGGCTGCGTACTTTCGTCACGTGTTGAGGTAAGGACGTAAACCTGTTTAGCGCAACATTCTGACTGCAGCATGCCTGGGAATGCGGAGTCGGATGATGTTTTGTTTGTTGAAGGCAGCGCTGATTTTGCAGGCAGAAGTTCTAATGAGGCGCATAGAGTGGGAGTGTTTGATTTTAAAGTCCATCTGAAATTCCTCAATGCATTATGGTTGCGACACTACATGGCGGATTTATTTGCCACGGAGGAAGTAGATTAGGGAAGAATGGAATGTGAATTTAAGTGTCAGGTGATGGCTCGTTCCATCGGATTCAGTTTGTATGCCGCATACGGACTCACTCGATCAGGACTTCCTTAATCAGTAGCCTTGGTTTGCCTGCTTTCCCGCCCGCTGACACGTCGCCAATCCGCGCCTTTCGAAATGCGCCATCCGTCCGGTCACCCCGTTGAATATGGATGTTCTCTAACGTTGTGCACTGATACGTTTGTAGGAAAATAGTCGAACTGAAAAGATATTTCCAACGACACGGCCAAACCCAACGGGCTAGTTAGTGCCCCCTTTTGCGAAAAATGCATCCAACCTCGTCACATGGTAGTTAAATGTGTTTCACGTGCAGACAGCGTAGAGACCATTTGCAACATTCGTTCGCCAATCTGTGCTGTCAGGAATTAGAGGCGCCCCAGTGATTTCATTAATATCTGTCTGTTTAGGGGATCTGTAGTACAGGAATTCGAAATTACGCCTTCACGCAGGTTGAACTCGAATTTCTCTTCACACTGATTAGACGATACATTTGTTAACTTCATTTTTCAGGGATTGTTATTCATTTTCGAAACGGCGATTTATGGGGTAACTTCTATTCGCTGATGCCCTGGTATGTGGAAGGACCTCGGTGCACCGCAAAGATTTATTCCGATATAACCTGAACTAGCAGATTAAGTTCCCTCATAGCCACAACTTACGAAATCGTGCCAAACTCAATTGTTTCGATGACTGAATTTATCAGAAGATACTAAATTGTCCTTTAAAATTTTTGGTTGGACGAGAGAATAAGAACCCAGGAAGACTGTACTAAAGGATCTGCGATTCCCCTGTTTTTCTTACTTCTTTTCAAACTAGGCATGTTCTTTAACCTTGTGCATTGATATCTCGGTAGAGAACAGCCGAACTAAAAATTTATCTCCATCGACATGGCCAAACTCAACGGACCGGCGAGTGTTCTATTGGGCAGAAAATTCATCCAAACTCGTCACAAGGTAGTCAACGGTGCATAACGTACAGGCAGCGTACAGACATCCACTGCACGGATGAATGCATTTATCAAAATATAATAAATTCCCCTTTAGAATTCTTGGTTGGACAAGGGAATGAACACCCCCTCAAGTAATACGGTGGCTTTGGGTTAAATCCCAGGAAGATTGAGGGTAGGATAAAGTATATAATTATGGTAAGTAATAATTTAAGGGTTAAGTGTAAGGCATTTGATAAGGTTAATATTATGCTTTAGACTAGGACACTGGAATAGGTATCCGATTCTCTGATTTTACCTAATTAAATTTTGAATATAGATATTCTTTAACCTTGCGCATTGATACATTCGTAGAGAACAGTTAAAGGAAAAAGTAATCTCCAACAACACAGCCGAACCCAACGGACTGGCAAGTGTGCCATTATGCAGAAAATGCATACAAGCTCGTCTCAAGGTAGTCAAGGATGCATCACGTGCAGGCAGTGTAGAGACCTTCAGCAACTTTGCGTGCCCAGCTAGTATACCTTACGGACGGGTTTGATTGTGTGAAAAGCAGACGTATCCGCTGAAACCACTGGTTCACTCACGTTATCCTTCGGGTTCACACTCCAATCTATCACTAGAGCCGTGATTACAGTCTGCTGTAGCTAAATCGGGAGATTTACTATCAACCGTGTACATGATCACGCGCCAACGGTGATGAGACAATGCCATTTACTTCATTGTGGCGCACCCCTGCTCGACAGAGAATCCAAATTTGCATGGGAGGACGTTCATATCGTAGACATCTACTCCGGGAGGAATGGCCGCGAGTTCCTAGATGCAATGCAGTCACACGAGACGTGCATCACTATACATACCGATTTCGATGACCATCAGCTGAGAAGGACGATGCCCATCCTGACCGGTTGGGCAAAACCGGCAGTCGCTGCCAACTTACGTGAAAGGTGCCTGTCCTGTGCCTCTGGTGGACGATGTAAGAGGGGTTTGTGTGTGTGTGTGTGTGATGTATGGACTGCTGGGTAGATGTGTGGTTACGCGTTTTGGTCTGAGGTGTCTAAGGGCGTGTCATCATGGAGGCCCATGCGATGGCTGAATGTGCGTGGGTAGTGCGGGCACTTGGGGGGGGTTTGGGGTGTGGCGGATATACGTGTGGTTTCCAGTCACTGGTTCATAATAAGAAGAAGCGATCGCTGGATCAAGGGCTTTATTCGCCCGAAGTTTCGGATTCTCACTTGAATCCATCATCAGAGACAGTGGCAGAAGCGGATAATTCGTGCACAGGAGGTTGCAGTATTTTC